CATGAGGCATATATATATATGCCTCATGTTGGAACATGTTTATTCTTCTCTGATTTGTGCACTATTTAGCACTGTACTATATACAGTATAGTTATATGTCACACACACACACACACAAATACATATGAATGAAACTTGCCTCATGCTGCAATATATTTATTCTCTGATTTGTGATATAGATATCACAAATACTTACATACACATACACACACCAGATAATACATGCAAACATACAGTCATATGTGTGCATGTAAGTATATATACTTGTATATATATAAGCAATGATACAGACACAACGCATGGCTATTGCCCTTTTCTTTTCAATAATCACCCCAAAAAGATACTGGGAATGAAGAGATTAGTATGTATTTAGAAGATTTGATTAAGATTACCTTCCCCAAGCCAAGATCCACTGACCTCCTCTGTTCACAACCTGCCACCAGATAGCAATTGTCCACCCTCAGTGCTACACGGTCTATATTAGCCTGGAAAAAAAAAAAGTGAATGTTGCCAGGATCATCCCTTAGTAGCCTGAGGCACAGAAAGGGAGTATATTCAGCAAAGACTCCTGCTATTTTAAATATGTGCTGTTTGGAGGCGGTTGTAATATTACACTGCTAATGTAGTAGCTCAGCATGAAGAAGAAGTTAGCAGAACATCGATTGATTCACAAGGGATTTATTTATGAGTATATACATTACACAGCAGTGCAAAGCAAATGACTACTGAATCCTCAGCATTATGTTTCTGTTTTACTAATCATTTGTCCTGAGTCATTTGTGCTATAATGTCTCACTGTATCTTCCACTGTCAACAATACTTTTCTTCTCAAGATGGTTTCCATTCTCTGGGATTAAGTGGCCCAAGCAGGTTTTCTTGGAAGAAATTCCCATACCGGCAAATATAAAAACATGGCAACCAAACCATTGGCTTGGGAGGGGTTGCAATGGGGAGCAGGGCTGCAATACAGTGGGAAAAACTGGACATGATCGCTGTGATAGATATTTTCATGAACAAGACTTCAGTGATTTACAATAGATAGTAAGCATCAGCATCTAAAAGGGTGATGGTCAAAAGTGATTCTATGGTGGACAAAGCATTTCGATGTAAGCCCCTCATTCAAAAAGCCCTTGTTCAAAAGAAGCACGGCTTGCTGATTTTGTCACAGCCCTCTACTCCCACAGATACCACTGAGTAGCCGTTTTTTTGGGGGGGGCATCTTTGTCCACCCCCTCCATTAATCTCTTAATATTGCATAACAGTAAAACTCAGGAATTGCAACATGATAGAGACAGCAGCAACAGTTTTGTCACAATGCTCAGACTTTGCTTTATTGTGGGAGGGGAGGGAGTCTTACATGGAAAATAAGGTAAATGCTAAAGCTTAGGATAAACCCTGAAAAAAAGAATGACAGGCAAAGAGATACTCTTTTTTAAAAAATAACTGGATCAGCTCAGAATCTTCAACTTCCTCCAACAGTAACAATATATTAAATGTCTTGGTCTCATAGGGGTGGGGAAGAAAGGAGTAAATGCTTGCTTACACAGATTAGTTGAGCACAAAACAGGGGAACCTTAAATCTTGAAACAGAAAAGAGAGGCCCAGCAGAAAGGGCATGTGGGGCAACAAGAAAAGGAACACAACATTATGTTGGTGCATTCTGCCAAGAATTCCATTAAACTTTCACTCTTCTCATGGAAACAAGGCCAGCCTGTAAGCAACTTCCATGAAATGGACAGCGGTAGCCCTCAGAAAAACTGTACTCTTGGCTATTCAAAGCCAGGTTACATTTATTCCCAACTGCAGAGTAGTTGTGCTGGCTAGAGAAGCCAGATCGCAGTGGGAATGTATATATAATACTAGTGAGATGGCATTCATTCAATTCATGCTGATCATTTCCCACATGAGCCCTAGAAGAGCTGTAGCAGTGGGAATCGGGACACTCCTGGGAACACTGCTTTGATACATTATTATTCAACTCTGGAGCATGGCTTTGTGGTTCTAAATACAGAGCTGGGATCTGCATGTGGGAATTTGACATCTGTGGCTTATTGTACTGTAGGCAGCAACCTTTTTCAAACGTGTGTCGTGACTCTTTTACTGTTTACTGAGAGTTATCTGGAAGACGTTCATTTTCTTTTCTTCTCAAAGGACATAATTCCTGATTCAGAGATAGTCACACACAACAGTGTCTTTTACGTGGCCTGTCTTTGACCTGATAATAATGACCCATTGAGTGAAAACTCAATCAAGCAGTGACTCACCATAGACTACACACAATCTGCTATTCCCTTCCTCTTCCTCTGATTGTGTTTATGGGACAGGTGGCAGAACAATAAAAACAATCACCTTATCCAATGACTGTATTCAAACTGGCATGGTACCTCCGGACAGAGGACCATCTGTATTTATCAGCAGCAGCATCAACAGAGAATAAAGTTTTACAGCAAGTTTAAAAACTTTCTTGAAGACCTAAGGACCTAAGTGTGAGAAAGGTGGACTACAAGCTTAGGTGTCTAGGATTAGTAAATGCATATACACATAAATGCTTTTTCACTATAGTCTGTGATTCATAGACATGGGATTCTGTGCCTGCACAAGCTCCATTTCCTCTAGAACAGTGTTGTCCAAACTTGGCCACTTTGAGTGGACTGTGTAGTCCACCTATTCAGGTCCCACTGCTCCCAAATTGCCCCAAGGTGAGTTGTTAGGCTGCTATTGGCAAGGTACTCCTCTTCCTTAAGTGACCAGCCTATGTATCCACATAGCACTCAGCAGCATCCTCAATACCTACAAAGCACCATTTTGGGCCATAAGGAATTGGGAGGACCGTGTGCAGCCCACAGCCTGCAAGTTTGAGACCCACTGCTTTAGGCTTTGTACTTTATCCAAGGGTAAAAGAATTAAAATAAAACAATCATTGTTTCTGGGACAAAGAAACATACTTTATTAAATGTTTGAGTAGGTAGGTAAACTTTTAGTAAGATCTTTGACCAGCACATGTGAATGATTTGCAAATGTAGTAGGAATAGGTTGCAGAGTCTTCTAAAGTTAGCCTGCAATATCAAAAGAACAATGGAGGGACTGGGTGAAAAATGAAGTTGGATTCAACCAATACTTAGGAAGACAAAGCCAAAATTCACAGCCTTGTATACAATCAAACAGAAAAATGAGGTTTGGTAGTAATGAGGCTTGGTAGATGATAATAGGGCTTGGTTGCTTCACATCCATCTTATTCCCCAACCTTCTCATGAACATCAGCCTCAATGGCAGGCAGCAGTACTTGCCAAATTAGCTTGTGCAAATCAGCAATGGTCCATTTTCTTCTCTCAGCATGGTGAAAATGCTTTTCAGAAGGGGGCAGTCCCACAGCATGTCTTCTTGTCTCTAATAACATGAAGAAAACTCACTTGTGATATAACATCACTGAGTCACAATTTCTCTGCCTTTGCTCCACTTGATTGGCTGCTGTTTTCAAGGAGGCTGCCCTTCATAGGTGGAGCTAAACATTACAAGGAATGGTTATGTTCCGATGGGAATGTAAGAAAGCACAGAATGACCAGACATTATAGACTGTGTTGTTCTGCACAAAGTCCCAAAGAGAGAAATATAGGGCAGTAATATCTCCCGTCTTGATTTTGCTAGCTGCCATTCCTCCTTTGATTAACGTCTATCACTACTGGCATCAGTAAGATGAAATGTATTCTAGTTGTATAATGCAACTCAATTATTTCTCCAAATCTTTTCTTGTTCTAATTTAGCAGATACGAAACATTGTGCTTTACTAGGCCCACCAGTTTTGTAAAATACACAGGACTTTAAATGGTAAAGGAGAACCTATATTCCTCATGTCCAGCCACATGCATTGACCAATCTGCCTTAAGCAACCATCCAGTCTTTAAGATTTGCAGAGACTTCTGGGAAGCTCTGAAAAAAGGGTCTTTGTCCTTGAAGGATATCAACCGTCCTTTTTATCTCCTGTATCCTGCAGAGCTATGACAACGTTCCAATGCTGATCCAGATTCATGACCATGCCTGAAGAATTTTTAGAGTCTTCCACTCAAAAGTGGAGGGCTCCAAGCAATCCACAATCAACTGACAAATATTAGTGCCAGAGAATTTAAGTCAGAAAGGCTCATGGGCACAAAGGCAATTATGGAAATATGATTTGATAGCAATGATAATAAAAAAGAAAGAAAACTGGGATAAAGAAAATGCAAAGTAATGTAACAAGCACTAAAATCCAATAGAGCGGAACTTTGATTTAGCAGTTCTCAATATATTAAACTTGCAGGCAACAGACCAAATTCCTGTGGTGATTTACAACATTTGTGTAACAACATCATCACACAAATGACATCATTTGCATCAATTTATATATCATATGCATCATGATTTCATAATGCAAATTAAGCAAATTGCCATGATGATATACTTTCATACTTCATGTATTGTTGTGAATAACAGATACCCCATTGAGTCCATTAAAACAAGGTTGTGCTGTACATAATACAGAAATAGTAATACAAAATACACACCAAATATGTCTTGATCCAGCAATCTTCTTGAATTGTCTATTCAAATTCTATTCATAATTTCCCATGTGAATATATGTTAAAATGTGCCTGTACCTTATGCCTCTCAGACCAATTTCCAGCTTTAAATTCAACAAAGTTGGGCAGCCAGACATTTGGAGCCTTTAGTGGAGTCCTACTTGTTCCTTGGAATGCAAATATTTAACACTGAATATGCATCCACATTGACATTCATCTTTACTAGTATCTGACCATCATTATATATTATTATGTGTTAGATTTAGCTCACCTTTCTTCCAGGAGCTCAAGTTAGCCTACATGAGGATCTCCCCTTATTTTATCCCCACAGCGGCAACCCTATGAGGTAGACTGGCTGAGAGCAGAGGGACTGGCCTAAAGTCATCCCATGAGTTTCTGGTTGAGACTGAGCTTGAACCTGGGACTCCCTAGTCCTAAACTAGCTCTCTAACCACTATACTGTACTGGCTGTCCTGCTTCTAAGTATGAGTGAGTTTCAGCTGGTGCGAACAACTGTATATCATCATTCTTTTTTGACCAGATGTCCGAGAAGCATGAAGATATACTCTACACATCTGAGAAGCACTGTGTGCAGTGTTACGAGATTGCTGAAGCTGTCTTTGATGTCTGTTATGTACACTTTTGAATGGAGATGCTGCCTTGTTAGATGTTGGTTTATTTATCCCAGTTTATCTTACTTTCTACAGAGATACTTGTGCCTATGTGTTCACACATGATAGACCTCCTCCTCCTCTTCCATGGCATGATTGGTGTATCCCTTCTTCTGGATCAGCATACTCTGCCGTAAGATGTCCCAATGACCATTAGCGTTCACTGTGTTTGAAGGAGGACTGATATCCTTCTCCTCTTTTGATAAAATTGGTCGACCAACTTTTCCATCAGCCGCTACATCCTGTGTCTGTTTCCTCTGCAGGTACTTCTCAAAGGCATCTCTTCGGTAAGGGCCATTTGTTTTAATACATGTCTGCCTTATTTCACAACGATCTTCAATCCTGCATGGAAGATGTTAACAAAAGTGATGAAGAACACAGTACAATTGGTTCATGCATACCAATCTATATCATTCAAACTTCTCTAAAACTTGAATCGAGGTATTTGGAAGAGTGCTTGGAACAATACTGCATTTATATTAGCATAATTCCTACCAGGCCAGTAGCCAGAAATGATTGAAGATTAGAGGCTGCTAAAAATACAGTGGGAAAGGAGACAATGATTTATTGGTATAAAATGGGAAGATCCTAAATGCAAATCCTTCAATATGCTTAAAATTATTCCCTTTATTAAAACTAGGTAATATCTTTATACATTTTAAAAATGAAGAAGGAATGAAGAGCTTTTAGGAAGCTCTGGCTGCCTCCTACAGAATTCCATGGTCTTTGCCTTAAGGAAAATGCAATACATTTCTCCTATATTTAATTTACCTTCTTGATAAAGACACCTGCCAAGGCAAAATCAATGAGAACTATTCCCCCATCTCTTTATCAGTTGGTCTTTCCCCTCATCCAATTCACTTGAGAACCATAGCTTTTGTTACAACTTGGGTACCAGCTTGTGTATCAGCAGGGTAAATTGAAAGAAGAATCCAATTTATCAGGCATAGTTAATTAGAAGTTTCTCTAGCTTAAAAAGCTCCCCACATCCTTTTCTGGACTTGCCACTTATTCAAGAACTTCTGGAAGATGTGACTGAGTCTCCAGGCCTGCCAAGACCAGCAGATTGTCTATATTTGTCTCTTCTTCTCACAAGGAGAAACGGTCTAGTTTTGGGGGACCATTTGTAGTTCCACCTTGGTACTCATTAATTTAGCTCTGGAAACCTCAATATTTTTCAACAATATGGATATTGTATTCTGTTCAATTACATTCCCACTATGTGGAATTTACTATGGTCCAGGTATGCATCAGAGACAAACATGAGGTCCTCCAGTACTGAAGAAGGTGCTGCCTTCCAAGTCAACAACATCAGACCCTCATTTGAATTCTTTAAGTGATCAGCTTACAGAGAGAAAGTGAAGTAAGAATACATGATTAGCTTTTCTTGAGATGTATAGCTTATAACTAACTGGCTGTCCACTGTTTCTGTATCTGCATTTATCATCAAAATATCTTATCCCAACTTGCCTCTCCTACTTCTTTATTTTTCTTATTTTTGTCTAAATTTAGTTTTGTTTGCATCATTCAAAAATGGTAATTCTAGCATCTTTAAGCTTAATGACAAGTACACATCAGTCATCTCTATATTGTTGTGCATTAATAGGCCAGAATAACAATAGACATTAGAGAAACAATCTTATTTCTTGTTAAGCAATTAAAAAAAAACAAACCCTGCCTTCACCGTTTTCTTTCTATTTCCATAAGGAAAAAGATTAGGAAGGTAACACTTATTTTTTGAATGAGAGCTGAACATGCACTAAAACCCAAACAAAGCATTCAGTTTGCAGGGCACAGAAGAACTGCAGTGCTCTATCTTTTCCATTACTCCCATTCCTTAATTTTTGATAAAATTATATATAGGATGTGATTTGGGCCCAAACTGGACTGAATCAGAGAACAGAACACATGAATTTATGAAAGACATGCTCCCTTTCCCATCCTAATTAAGGCATTAGTCTAACAGTTGTGTCTATTCCTGATATGGGCTGAATGTAAGCCATGAGTGAGAAGACAGCAACTCTCCCTATCCTAAACGCCCTAGTACAGAACAGCCCATCTGCAATGTCTGGTTTGTCTTTCTATCACTTGGAACTTTGACTAACCCCATAAAATGAACCTGTAGGATTCATTTATACCGTTTCATGCAAGCTAAGCAGGCAGGCATTAATTATGCATGTGATCATGACCACTAAGCTTCGTTGCAGATTAGCAAGAACACACTACCGGTATGATCATACTATTTGGTAAAGCCTATTTTCCCACAAGCCTCTACTAACCCCATTGGCAGGCAGGGTTTTCTCAATAAGCGGAAGATTGTAAGAAACTGGCCGCCCCTATGAACGGTAGCTCTGGTACAAGTGTGATGTGCATCACACCACCAAGATCCTATAGACACATTCCCCGAATCCTGCCACACAATGAAACACGTCGTGATATACTTGGCATTTTCGGATGCCCCCAAACTACCTTCAATTAAAAAAAGAGTTCCTTTTCATAAATGTCAAGAAGTGCCTGACATTTTTGGACCTTTTTCACACTCATATTATTTCAGTGCTTCTGCCTATGGCTCCATTATCCTTCTGTGAGTTTACATTTTTTATCGTCCTTTGCCCACAGGGCTGCTTAATCCTGTTAGCTGTGGCAACTCACAGATGTGTCAATGAGTTCCCAATGTTACTTTCATGTGAGGGGATCTCGGGCCCTTGACAACCAAATCCCACGGGCTTACAAACAGGCGGTTGCATATGTAAGCCGAAGCATGGAGATCCAATCAGAACAAGGCAAGAGAAGAGACACAGCACTGAACTCAGAAGATGCCCAGTAAATGTTTTGGCAAAGTGAATTTGCAAGTGAATGTTTGGTACTGCTTGTTCTATTTTCTGAGCAAATACTGTACTGAAATAAACAAACAACATTTGATACAATCCAACGTTTTCTCCTTCCAGTGTATTTGAAATGTACTTGGTGTTTGAAACCTATAGCCACTATATAACACAACGCTGCAGGATTCTGCAACATAATTTACTTTTTGGTAGGTTGCTTGTTTTTGTGCCTTCGAGTCAGGGTTGACTCCTGGCGACTGCCTGGACTAGTCCCTGCAGTTTCTTAGCAAGATTTCAGAAGGGATTTGCAATTGCTTGCTTCCTAGGGCTGAGAGAAAGTGACTGGCCCAAGGTCACCCAGCTGGCTTTGTGCCTAAGGTAGGATTAGAACTCATGATCTGGTTTCTAGCCTGATGCTTGAACCACTACAGCAAACTGGCTCTCTAAACCTCCTCCTCCTCCTCCTCCTCCTCCTCCGCCTCCTCCTTCTTCTTCTTCTTCTTCTTCTTCTTCTTCTTCTTCTTCTTCTT